TCTCCCTGAATACAGACAGCTCTGCCTCTCTTGAATGACTGGAGGCTAATGCAGAATTCTAAAATGGCCGCAATTTATAGCTCGACCATTACACAGTGCTGGCTGGCTGGCTGCTGATTGGCTAATACGATCACATGTCATGAATGAATGCATAATGGGTCAGCGCGCCTTGTCTGCGCGCCTTCCCAGAGATCCCCGCTCCGTCGCCGCACATGTCGCCGCCATTTTAGGAAAAATTTCGATTCGCGCATCCGAAGTCTGCTAATTTTCGGATTCAGCGCGAATCGAATTTTTCCTAAAATTCGAAACGAATTCCACTTCGCCAAGTTCGATTCGCTCATCTCTATCCCTGATCTAGACAATAATGTATGTCTACAACTGAGCTTTTGATATGGAGTTTTAAAGATGTACAACAAAAGATAGAACTCATATTGTCTTGGAATTATTCTCATAAAGGGCCTTTAAGTTCCTACTGTTGCAATTCATTTTCCTGTAAATATTAGGCAAGGGTCATTTTTGAACACAGAACCTAACCCATGCCCAATCTGGCCTGGAAATCTTGCAATAGAGATCTATGACAGATCGCTCCATGATGGCTTCTAGTCTATCTCTGTCATCTTCTGTCTTTTACTGAATGTACAGCTGAGTGAAATGTATTTTAGTCCCGGCACACAGTACTGTGAAGAGGGAAAGGTCAGAGGCCTGCACTGGGAATTACCTTGACCTTTACAAACACATCCATCACCTGCCCCCTGTAACATGCATCATCCATCGCTCACACTTTAAAGGTCCTCTCATTATTAATGATGGCAAATATAAATTGTCTTTCACATGGACCAATCTCTGGGCTCATATACTAGGGGGTGACTCACCATTTAAGCAGTTTAAAGAATTGTTTTCATGTCCATTTTAAAATGACAAGTGTCTCATACCATACACCTTAATATTTTGCAGAGTCTTTTTTTATTGGCAAACATCACTTGAATTGTGTATTCAGTCAGTTGAAGGTAAACTCCAGGCAAACAGCTAAATACACAGTTAAAGTGGATATGTAATTTACTTGCAAAAGGTTTCATATTTCTGTCCATCCATTCCTGACATTTACACAACCATAGCAGACAGCAGAGTCATCCTGATGACCTAACTTTTTCCCACTACAGTTATATAATACAAATTGGTCACCACCCCACACACAGCCAATTCCTGAACAGTGGGAGAGCAGCGGAAGACTGATGAGGTCATATTTTTCCTTTGACCCTCCTGTCAGCATGTTCCTTGACTGCAAATGTGCATAAAGCATACCTGATTAGCTCTATGTGCTACCTCTCCCTCCAAGCCTATGTGCTGCTATGCAAAGTTTGACGGCAAATTAAATTCAAGTACTTAGTAACATTTGGGATTCAGCTTTAATTAAACTTCTTATGGTTATGTATTTGTTAGCCTTTAAATTTGATTTAAAATCATACAACTGGGATGTGAATAATTCAAAGGATAATTAAAAGCAGTATTAAATTCAAAAATAAAAATGTAATATATTGCAGCTTACCAATTCTTAGATATGGTGGCTGCATTAGTGTTCAATTTTTTTAGGCTTTTTTTTCCCTTTTATTTTAACTTGTGGCTCTGGCTAGTACATCTATTATGTTTCAATTTCCTTAACAGATCAACCTGTCCAGCAAATATGTCGTCATTTAGAGAGATGAGACAAACCATTTGATACTGACAGTGGTGCTTTCAATGATCAGCTTTTATTCATTCATGTGAAACCTTTACCCGAACAGAAAAAAAAAAAAAAAAAAAAAAAAAAACTTTAAATAATGTTACTCGTAGTTTGGCTTTAATTTTTAAGTCATTTGTTGGCCATCTTCCACCAGCTAGTGCATTTATGTTGTAACAATTTCCTCCCCCCACATTAATAATTTTGCTGTCAAAAATGTCTCCATTGCTTTTCCAGTGGAATGGAGACATCTTAAAGCTGGCTATACATTAGTAGAATTTCATTCAGAATTTTTTTTTAAAGCGTTCATTCAATTTTCTAATTCTCAGTTGGATCAAATTTTGTTTTCCAGCTCAGTGACGGGAAACTGATAGGGCAGGATGGAACATTTTAGTCTAAACAAATTAATTTTTAACAGTGTATGTGGTTTCCGTTTAGGAGAGTACATTCACTCTAAAATCAAATGTCAAAAGCAAACAAGTTTTGAAGTACTTTCTAAAGGCATTCCTCCAGCCATTGAATGAACAAAGAATTTTTGTACAAAGGTTCTGTTCAAAAATCTACTAGTGTATACCCAGCTTAAGATAGGAAGAGTGTTACTGGCTGGATCACCAAGTGAAAATAAAGGGAAAAAAGTCACCACATTTAAGGATTGGTTGGAGTGATTGTAAACCTCTGAAATGAAGAATGAATAAAGTATATCCCTCTACAGTGTGTACTAGCCTCAATCCAAAGCACTTACAGTAGGGTAGTTCCTACCTGCTGCCTTTTCTCTCTGCAAAGTGCAGATAAGGTCTGAGTTATGCAGACACCACAGAACACCAAGTATGGCCCTCCTCCCCTCCAGCACACAGAAGGTGATTGACAGCCTTAGCTGTGCATGTTTCACTTTAAGATTTTCTAGAGGGGCGTGTTTCCTTTCCCTCCATTCACATTTCAGATTACACTCAGCTCCCTGCTCTGCAGTGTGTGACATCAGATCTCCACCCCCTGCATGCTAGATTTCAGAACTGCTGTGTAAAATGTGTTATTTAGGAGGTTGTAGAGTAGAGAGAAATGCAGATAAACAGGTACATCACCAGTATTGTAAATCAGTCCACAAGTAACATTTATAGGTGTAACACCCTGCTATAATGCAAGTTGCAGGATGTTAAGAGAAACACAAGATGGCAGTATCCTGCAATTCAGTGGCACTCACACTCTGTAGAACAGTCCCATTGACCTTGTATGCTGAACCTCAGGACTTTGCTGAGGAGCCGTGTACCAAAGGACTACATTTTCCAAATGAGCTGGCATATGGGTGGGGGCATTTACATACAGGAGACTGGACAGGAGGTGAGAGGGGAGAGAGCTGGAGAGCAGAAGTAGAAAAAGAGCTGTGCTGACTGTCGGAGGACTGAACCAGGCCGCAGAGCTAGAGAGAAGAGAGGCAAGGAGGAGTCGCTGACCACTAGCCTTGCCACCCTGTTCAGTGAGACAGTCTGCCAGCAGGTTACACAAAGCCAGTGACTGAACAGAGTGCTGAAAGTGAGACCGGAGAACCTGTGGAGGCCCCATCTGCTGAGAGATAGACAGCCAGGACCTGTTGGAAGCCACCGGTCAGGTAAAAGAGTCCCATGCACCAGCCGAACAAGTGCACACGGACATTCTTATATCTGCCACATTCCTGCACATAGTTGCGGACATTGCATATAGTTAACACCTGTTGCGGCCTAGTTCCCCCGGGCCACTACTTTTGAACACATTTGCAGCAAAATCAGATCATCAGAGCCTACCGTAGTACATGCCTTCTGAAGGCCAAACCACATCAGTGCTCCCTTAACCATTGGCCTGCCCTCTTAAAAGAACCTCTACTACCATTGCCATTGGTTACTGTAGCCCAAAGTGGAGTTGCCCTTTGCCAGCAAGTGCTTCTGCCAACTTCTTGACACCTTTCTGTCTAAATTTTGAAACTTGCTCAGTGCATTAAAGGGACACCACCCAAGTCAAGTGCCACTTAAAAGAGATTTTACTTGTCCTTCCTTTTTCCTTTCCTTGTATTAATCTTTTGAGGGATTGTCACTGTCACCTTCATCTCTTCCTTCTTGTGCATCAACTGGGCCCCAACAAGCACACAGAAGATCCCTCACTGCATTTAAAGGGGCAATGACTACCCTAGCTAAAGGGCTCTTTCATATCTCAGATTTAAACCTTGCCATCAGATTTTGAGGGCTCAAAGTGAGCTAGTTCATCCTTTGATAGGTTTCCTTGCTCACTGGGGACTAGAAACACCTCAGGTTGAAGGTATAGGGTTAACTTCTGAAAAGCAGGCCTGCTAACACTGATCAAGATCCTGATGCTTCTTTGCACAGTGGACACAGGAACACTAAGATCTAATAATTGATACAGGTGAGTTTAATTAAAAAATTCCAGGAGCATCACAAACTTGGAATGCAATTATTTCTTATAATTTTGAGAAGGTGCCAATAATTTTGTCCATTCCATTTTTTGGGCTTTGCGTGGAATGTGTCAGATTTGGCTTTTTGTTTCTCCACTTTTTTGTGGCACAATACAAACAAAGGAAATAAACATGAGAATGCCTAAACATTTGTAATTACAACAATTTTATGGACGAAGTGGTGCATTATCTGTTAGAAATGCAGGGGTGCCAATATTTTTGGCCATGACTGTATTAAATTCTTGTTTTTGGGTTCAGATATACTTTAACCGACTCCCATCCTCCATATAGTAATATGACGGACGCAAGGCGGTTCTCTCTCTCGTTCTGGGAGGACGTCATATGACGTCCTCCCATTCTTACTGCGCATGCGCGGCTCCTGGAGCGCGCAGCATGGCAATCGGTGGTGCGCTGTGTCCCTTGGACACAGCGGATCACCGATCCATGGAAAGAGCCGAAGATGTTGGCACGGTCATGTGATCAGCTGTGTCAGTCACAGCTGATCACATGTAAACAGGGAAATGCCGGTTATCGGCATTTCTCTCCCCACGAGCTGTCACACTGACAGCTCGTGAGGAGAGGAGAGCCGGTAATCGCATTCCTCGGAGGGGACATGTACACAGATCATCAGAACACTGATGATCAGTGTGCCCTGATGATCTGTGTAGCTCCAGCAGCGTCACCTGTCAGTGTCTATCAGTGCCAGCTCTTAGTGCTTATCCACGGCACCTGCCAGTGCCCATCAGTGCCACATTTCAGTGCCCATCAGTGCCATATCAATGCCACATATCAGTGCCCATCTGAGCTGCCTTTCAGTGTCACCAATCTGTGCCAGTCAGTGCCACCTATCAGTGCCAGTCAGTGCCACCTATCAGTGCCAGTCAGTGCCAGTCAGTGCCAGTCAGTGCCGCCTATCAGTGCCACCTATCAATGCCAGTCAGTGCCAGTGAGTGCCGCCTATCAGTGCCACCTATCAGTGCCATATATGAGTGCTGCCTTTCAGTGCCCATCAGTGATGCCTGTCAATGCCCATCAGTGCCACCTACCAGTGCCTCCTCATCAGTGCCCATCAGTGCCACCTATCAGTGTCCATCAGTGCAGCCTCATTAGCACACATCAGTGAAGGAGAAAAATCACTTATTTACAAAATGTTATAACAAAAACTAAGAAAAAAAATGTTTTTTTTTTCAAAATTTTCAGTGGTTCTTGGTTTGTTTAAGAAAAAATAAAAAACCCCAGAGGTGATTAAATACCACCAAAATAAAGCTCTATCTGTCACAAAAAAAGAGATAAAAATTTCATATGGGTACAGTGTTGCATGACCGCGAAATTGTCATTCAAAGTGCAACAGCGCTGAAAGCTGGAAATTGGCCTGGACAGGAAGGGGGTATAAGTGCCTTGTAGGCTTGTGGTTAAAACATCATGAAAAGGAATGCCCTATTTAGGTATTTACAGCAGTATTGAACCCAAAACCAAACATTTAATATATTGTAGCTCCTTAGACGTGGTGGCTGTATTCCTTTTCTTTTCTTAGGCTTTTTTCCCCTGTTTTCACCTGGTGATCTGGCCCGTAACACACCGCCTGTATTAGAGTGCCTCCACTCTGGATGAAGGAGCACAGGCGGATCTTTTGGACAACAGCATTCTCAGTCAGGGGGGAAGGGAGTGTTAGATGTACTAGCAGATTTAAATACACTAACAAATTGAAATCAGACTCCAACTCACACTTTAAACACAGGTACAGCAGACATTTTTTAAATTCCTTTTCAAGATAAAAGTTTTACATAAATCATTGTCAAAATTTTTTAATATAAGCAATGTAATATGTAAGCAATGATTTATATAAATCATTGTAAGCACCCCTGCCAGCGTTATATGGTTTGTCTCATCTCTGTAACTGATACATTCTGCTGGAGTGCTTGTTCTTTTGAAAAAACAACAGACTTATTGACTGCATCATCTAAGGAAAAAAAAAAAGAAAATAATGCAGCTATCACAGCTAAGCAATGGTAAGCTGTAAAATAATAAATAAATGCTTTTTGGTCCAATACTGCTTTAATCTCTTTCAAGTGAGCTAAAATGTTATAAACGGCTAAGAAGCTAAACTAAAACTTGTTGATGTTTTTGTGCCACAAAACTGGCAAATAAAAACAAAAATAAGAAAACAAGCATTTCTGAATATCAGGTATAATTGGCGATTATCTGCATGAAATGCAAGAGTGGAAGAGAAAAAAAATATTTTGCAAAATATACTGTCTAAAATGCCTGGGGACTGAGCTTTTAAAAATCCAGAGAGGTATAATCCTCCCAACCAGAACAGACATTGCCCTGCATACATCATTTAAATCAGCCTGCACAAGAAATATGATGTTTCAATCAATCAGTGCCTGGTTAATGATTCAAAGGCCTAACTTGTCTTGAACACAAGCTCTTTGGGAATATTACAGAGAATCCATCTCCTTTCAAAAGCTTAAATAGAACTTTATTTCAAACACTTAGAAAAAACTTTAGCCCGGTCTCCCACAAAGCTTAAACAGATGCCCAGAGGGCTCCGTATGTTAAATATTTTGAAGGATTTTCATTTAAGGAACAAGAAACGGTTTTCTTGAGGTTTTAAAAAAAAAAATTTCCCGCATTAACAGGCAGAATAGAAATAGAGTATAAATCAGCGCCTTCCAGTATTAAAGAGGAGCCCTACTCAAAAAAAAAATTTGAAAAGTGTAAATTTACGTAAATATTTTCATAACTCTCCACCCATAAAAAAATAGATACTTATTATAGTTTTATAGTACTAATAAGTAAGTAATAGTACTTATTAACATTTTACCTATAAATGTTAGTATCCAGTTATATTCTGTGTATCTAGGAAAGAATCCAGGCCTATATTAAAGCAATCCGCTAAGCTGGCCAGAATCAACACTTAAGGGAGTCTATTCCCCATTTTCAGAGCTCTTGCTGTGAAGAAACCTTTCTGTATTTGGAGATTAATTCCTCCAGACATAAAGAGTGCCCCCTTGTCCTCTGTGATGACTTCTCAGGGTGAATAGCTCTACACCGAGTTCACTATATGGACCACTGATGTATTTATACATGGAGATCATATCCCCCCTTAATTATACATGTTGATCATATCCCCCCTTAATCTTCTCAAGAGAGAATAAATTTAGTTCCTCTAATCTTTCCTCATAGCTGATCTCCTCCATGCCTCGTATCAGTTTAGTTGCCCTTCTCTGTACTTTCTCCAGTTCCCCAATGTTCTTTTTGGTGCCCAAAACTGAACTGCATATTCCAGTGAGGTCTTACTAATGATTTGTACCGGGGGAATATGATATCTCTCTGTCTCTGAAGTCCTATACCTCTTTTACTACAAGAGAGGATTTTGCTCGCTTTAGAAACTGCAGCTTGGCATTGCATGCCATTATTAAGCTTGTGATCTACCACAACTCCCAGATCTTTCTCCACCATTGATTCCCCCGGTTTTACCCCCTAGTATGTATGTCTGCATGCATATTCTTAGCCACCAAGTGCAGAACCTTACATTTATCAACATTAAACCTCATTTGCCACATAGTTGCCCAATTTAAACAGTGCATTGAGGTCGGCTTGTAGGTTAGAGACATCCTGTAAGGATATTATTCCTCTGCACAGCTTGGTGTCATCTGCAAAGACTGAAATGGGATTTTTAATCCCAGACCCTTAGTTTCTGTAATATAGCCTTGGGGTACACCATAACAACCCTAGACTATTCAATCATTAACCACCACTTCTGAATACGATCATTTAGCCAGTTTTCTATCATTTACATACTGAATTTTTAAAGCCCGTAGACTTTACCTTACACATTAGCCGTGTGTGGGGAACTGTGTCAAACGCTTTTGCAAAATCCAAGTATACCATGTCCACCGATCTGTCCAAGGTTTTGCTCACCTCCTCATAAAAAGAAATCAAATTTGTTTGACAACTTCTGAACTCATCTGTGTGGTCTTTTATTAAACTGTCTAGCATCTTCCTAACTATAGATGTTAAACTAACAGGTCTATAGTTACAAAGATTTTGATCTCTTTTTAAATATTGGCACCACATTTTAGCTAATCCAGAGGTACTATTCCAGTCAATAAAGAGTCCCAAAAAATTAGAAACAATGGCTTTGAAACGACAGAGCTCATATTCTTTAAGGACCCATGGATGTACTGTATGCCATCCGGTCCATGCTTTATTCACCTTTATTCTGCCTATATATTTTTGTCATTTAGTTGTGCCAATTGGATCATCTGGGGCTGTGTCAATACCATTCCCTTTATGGACAAGAGCTCCCCCATGCTCCTTTGTATACTGAAGAAGGTATTTAATAAATTTTTCCCAGTCCATCCACTCTAGATTATTTTGTAAAAGACCTACATGCTCAGACATGAGCTTTTTACTATTAATATATTTGAAGAATTTGTTGGGGTTTGCCCTGCTATCTTTTGCAATCTGTCATTTATTTTCATTTTTTGCGGCCTTGAATTCCTTTTTAGGGTTTGTAACCCCTGGAGCTGGGCTTCAAAAAATTTAAAAGAGCAGCCCCCTATAAAAGAAAAATGTTTATACTTACTTCTTGTCAAGGTGGCGGCTGCTTCAGTGTGAATCCCCCAGGTACACTAGGATAGTCAATGAGAGCTGGTAGGTGTAGACCAACAGCTGATTTACAGTAGCACTAAAACACCAAGGAACAAGTTAGGACCTAGTGGCGGAAAACTGTGGAGTAAACAACCAGGCTGGAGCACTTGGAAGAGGAAAGTCTTGGAGCCCACAAAGGAACAGAAAAGACTAGGGAGTTGAATCAGGAATCAGGTGGTCCCAATGAAGAGCAGGTGACCTCCAGGTCGTGGAGTCTAAGAGCCCACCTGCATTGACCAGGGACCTCCTCACAGGGGTTTGGGACTTAGCCCTTTACTTACCCCAGATCATAACCCTTGGGTTCACCCTGCTCTAAGCACCACAGATTACACAGATCATGGACCAGGAAGTAGGTCTTGGAGCAGATGAGTGAACTGTGGGAAACAGTGAAGCAGAAAAGGTCACCAGGCTAGGGACTGGAAGTCAGGGCTGGCTGCAGACACAGATAACTAGGGTACAAGTAAAGGGTTAGGGCAGGCAGCAGACACAAATAACCAAGATACAGGCTAAAGAGCAGGTAAGGCAGCAGACATGGATAAACAAGATACTACCAAGGGTCAGGGGAGGCAGCAGACATGGATAACCAGGAATACAGGCCAGAGGTCAAGAGAAGCAGCAGATATGGATATCCAGGATCAGGGCCAGATCTAGCCTGTCTGATGTGGGGGTGCAAGAAAAAATGTCAGGGGGGCAGAGGATAGGAGGTCAGGGGGGCAGAGGACAGGGGTCACTGCTGGCATGGCAGAGGTCCTCCTCCCATCCCTGCACTGTGCTCAGCCTGGGCACAGGCAGCAGAACTCCCCACACAATGCACAACTGAGATCAGTATAATGTCAGTCAAGGAAAGTACAGTATAGTGTCAAACTAGGGCCGGAAAGTATCAGATTAGGGCAGCATAGTGGCAGGTTAGGGTTGGCTTGGCAAAACTAAATCTTGGGGGTCATAGCCCACGCCAGCACCCCCTTAGATCCGGCCATGTCCAGTATAAAAGCCAGAGGTCATTACACAGGAATCAATAGGATAAGGATGCAAACTGGATATCAGAAAGATTCACCAGGGCAGCTAACCGTGAAAATGCTGTTCAGGCAGCAAGCTGGAAGCTGCATTGAGTTTAAAAAGACTGGACAAAGGAAGGAAGCTGCTCTGATTGGATGCGGCGATGACAGATCAGAGAGCACCTGTGGACTGATAAGAGTGTGCTGCTCTGATTGGCTGCAGCCTGCTAGAAGGAGGGTGCCTCTCTATTTGGACACAGCCCCAACATTCTAAGCAAAACCTGGAAGTGTACGCGGCTGTGTGACACAGAAGCAGAACCAACCCTGGCCATGGAGGGTAAGCAGTGCTGACACCTCTATG